AATCAGTATTTGTGTGTTATTAAAATCAAAATTATGCAACTTCTGTTGTGCATGCTGTGCTAATGCTGTACCATTTTCGTTATTTTACGAACATAAGTATAGCCTAAGAAAAAGTAACGAAAATGGTACAGCATTAGCACAGCATGGACAACAGAAGCTGCATAATTTTGATTTTGATAACACACAAATACTGAATAACGAGAGCAATTATAATAAGAGAAGAGTCCATGAAATGATACAGATTAAAAAACATAACAATGCTAAGGCCTAATTAATTTTAGAACGTTTTAAAGTTTGCAATGGTGATGTATTTTAATATGTGATATGATGAGGCTGTTGACGAACTGTGGCTGTTTTTTAAATTAATGAAATTTTTTTTAAACTATCGGTTATTTTAGAAAAACTGATGATGGTGGAAAAATACACCRAAACGTATTTYGATTAAYAAATAGAGACAATAAATGACTGAAACCCAGGAATAGATTTGATTTGGAGTTTTTATTAATGTCCTAACGGGGCTACTGGCTCTAGAATCTACCTATTGAACATGCAAAAATTGCAAAAGAGGGGCTTTGTGGCGTCCAATTGTTCTGCCGCTCGGGTTGATCAGTGAAACGTGACTAGAATCCCACTGAATTCCATCGGTTCGGTTGCTGACGCGAATTTGTCCGGGAGTGAAGTTTTTTTCCGTTAAACCACAGGTACTGAGTGAAGAGACTAAAGGTTAGTTGTCTGAGCATTTGCCAATTTCGTCTGGATTTTTTTAGATGTTCAGTTTAAGAGTCTAGGGAGGGAACGTGCAGTCAGTGTTTTGGCCAAATGGAGTGCCCCAAGCCTTATTTGTCCTGGCAAGAGGAAAATGATGGTCTGATAAAACCTCAGGCCACAAAACGTGGGGGGCAAAAACCCCTTAAATCTGGTCGTAACTGGTGCAGTTGGGCAGCGGCGCATCCCAGCGCCCGTCCGGCAGACAGCGGACGCGTTGCTGATCCATTCGGGACTCGAATCCGGGATTGCAGGACACCTGCAGCTCGTCGCCGGGCTCGTAGGCAAATTTGGTGGGCATCACCAGGCCGTTGTCCGGGTCCCCCAGGTAGGGACAGCGCGGTTTGCCTGCGGGCAGAACGGTTTCAAAACCCCCATTAACACGGCCGGGAGGGTGCGTACAGAAGGGCGGCGGGTGGCTCCAGAAGCCGGTTTCCGTGCAGATGATGCTGGCCTCCCCTTCGAGCAGATGCGCCCCTTTGCAGGCGAACTGCACCAAACTGCCCACCGCGTAACGCTCCCCGTCCATTCCAGGACTTTCTGACTGGATCAGGTGGCCGTTGATGGGTAGAACTGGGGGCGGGCATTGCACAGCTAAAACCATTAAAAACTTTGTCAGTTTCAGAGTTTGATTGTTGGACGGCAGTGGACATACGCAAGCACTTGGGGAGCCGTCCGCTCCAATTTCCGCTGATCTCGCACTCAAGCCCAGGCGGGCCCAGCAGCTTGTAGCCCCAAGCGCAACTGAAAATCGCCCGGCCCCCGTAGCTGTTGTTGTGCTCCTCCAGCTGCAAGTGGGGCTCCTCCAGTCCCCCAGGGGCGTGCAAGGACGGACACTGAACTGGCTCGCACTTTGGGACGTCCGCCGACCATTTTCCTGCCAGATGCCCATAGTTTACCTACTTGAGCTGAAGGAGTGGGCACTTACCAGAGGCCTGGCAGGTGAGATTGGGGGCGCCGCTCACTAAGTACCCAAGCGGGCAGTGGAAGATGGCCTTGTTCCCCAACCGGGTGCCCTCCACCCTTACGGTGAGATGGATGCCGCGCACCGAAATGGGGTCGCACGTAATCGCTGCAGGAAAAACATAAAAGACGTTAAAGAAAAATTGCACATTTTGAAACATTTTTCCGTGGCTGAAGCTTAAATGGTGCGCAGCGTTGAAGATAGTTAGAAGAAAATCGTGAAGGTTTAACTATGACTGAGAAACGAAAAAGATAAAAATTCGTATAAAGCGATTGGAAAATGAAAAACCTTCCAAGTGTGAATGTTTTGTTGAAAGCATCTGAGCGGAGCGAAGAATTCACTATTGCAACCTATAAAAATCAAATATTCAGAAGATTTGGACTCAGTTTCAGCTTGTTGAGTCACAAGCAAACTAAGCTTCCTGAAGACTTTAAAGAAAAATTGCACATTTTCAAACATGTTTCCTTGTATGAAGCTTCACTTGGAATATTTCGTGCGACAAGCCAACGGAAGCGCGGCGTTTAAGATAGTTAGAAGAAAATCGTGTAGGTTTAACTATGACTGAGAAACGAAAAAGATAAAAATTCGTATAAAGCGATTGGAAAATGAAAAACCTCCCACGTGTGAATGTTTTGTTGAACGCAACTGAGCGGAGCGAAGAATTCACTATTGCAACCTATAAAAAATCAAA